TTGGTGGCAGCTGGCCCCACATGTGGAGCCTGCTGCTGCAGCACAGCATTGCAATCTCCTGCCAGCAGTAGGGGGTTACGAACTGGGAGTTGCAGGAGCAGGGCACCTAGTTTATCCCAAATGTCATCGCGATAGATATGGTTCTGCTCCGTGGGGAGGTGAGTGCGCCACACGTGTTGGTAAAGGCCAATAAGATCACAGATCAGGCCTGTGGATGCATGTGTGGCCCGGAAGTGAACAAGACGCCCTGGATAGATCTCCCGAAAAGCCATGTCTTTGAAGACCTGTTTCCTAGCCATCACCAGAATGCCCCCATGCTTATCATAAGAGACATCCGTGTGGTGCCCCGACGAATGCAAGCAAGCCCAACTACCACTGAAAAAGTCCGAACAGGATCCCCAGTGAGTTTCCTGAAGAACAACCAGATCATAACAACCCTCGAGGTCAAGCCATGCCGTAAACTCTTGGAAGAGGGCTGAAGACAACCCACTTGCATTCCAGCTAAGGCATCGAATGGCAGGTTGTTTAGGATTGGAAGTAGGGTTCTTCTGGGTTGTTCTGATTAAGGATGGCTTTGAGGGAGGCACTGGTGTGCCACTGTCCTCGGTACATCGTGCCGCCCTCCAGCGATCGCTGGGCACGGTTCCTGGCTCGACGATATGCACGTTTTGCACATTGGGTATGTCGTATGGATGTATGAAAGCCAGAATCCTGCGCAAATCCACGTTGCTTCCCCGGACCAGGCCACGAATGGCCAAGCCCGAGTCCATCCCCTGTCGTGGTGGCAAGGGAAACCCTCGCTTCAATTGTGGTCAAAAGCAGAGTCAGAAGACGCCTGATGCTGCCACAACCGGCGGACTTGGGACCGCCGCGGCCATGTCCTGCATGATTGACACAAGGTCGGGTCGGGTGGTGGGGCCTACTTCTAGGTCCGTGCTTACCTCCAGGGTCGTGATGTCGTTGCCACAAGCAAGACGACTTGACGAGGAGGGAGCTGCGGCACCTGTAGGGGTTGGGGCATTTCACTACGGTAGGAGGTCGGGAGGGCTTACGGGTCCTACGATTAAGCCAGAAGAGGTGGGTATTGTGCATCGGCCTCTGGAAGGCTGGAATGCAAAAGCAGCGGGGGCGGTAGTGCACCCTGCAGTAAAGAGCAGCTGCCTGCACAGCCGGCCGGCCGCCGGGGAACATACGTTCACTCGTCACGGGGAGCGTGTCCCTCCTCTTCCACGTAGTCGTTCCACTTCTGGAGCCGTGTGCCCGATAGCATGCGCTGCGCTTCCCACTTGGTGCAGGTCCAGTCACGATCGTTGAGCTTTCTTCGTGCCCAACCGATTCTGCCCGCAATTCTGCGGGTGCTGTCCCACGGCGTGGTGGCATTGAGCTCCTCCCGGAAGAGTGACACAACATATGCTTTGGCTCGCTCCAGCAGGGGGCCCACGAGTTCAAGCGAAACGATGCTCGGCACTTCGGTGCTGCTGCTGCTACTGCCTTCACTGGCATCGACAATCGCATCCAAGCTGTCACTCGGGTCGTCGTCCCGAATGTCATCCCCTGGTGGCGGCGGAGGTCCTCGCGGTCGCACCCGATCAGCAGCCCGGCCAGCATCACCTGAGGAAGCATCCTCGATTTCCTCCGAGCAAACTTGGGCCTGCTGGGATGCACTGGGTCGTCGCATGGAGGGCCGCTTGCCATATGGCTGCATCCAAAGGCCGCTCACTCAAGCGCCTACACAAGCCCCTACGGGGTCCCCACTCAACACTTTGGGCCGTGAAGCTTCATCGTCGACCTCGCCATCATCAGCATCATGACTATCACCATCATCATGGCTAGGTAGCTATCACCCTCCTCAGTGTCATCAGCATCACTCGTCTCCGGCGCCGTCAACGCCAACATTCAGCATCACCCGAATGCGACTGTCGAGTAAATACGACTGCAAAACGACATAGACGAAGACGACGACGACCACCACCACTACCACCACCAGCACTAGTACTACTATTGCTACTGTTTCGTTTCCTACCGACGATAGCAGTATGACTAAGATACTGAACACGATGATCCTAGATTACCTCGATGGCTACTATCGTCATTGATACAGTTGCTTCCATGACGATGTTTCTGACTCTTGCGATTGCTGTTATGTGTGTCAATTTCGTCCGTTCCAGCATTTTCCTGTTGCCAGTCCTCCTGCCGTTACCTCTAAACTTGCTCGGCGCTGCTACATTGTGTTGGTGACGGGTGGTTGTCATGGATGTTAGAGTCTGCTGCGTGTTCATTCAGCACCCTTGCTCAAGTACTGCTCCGTTACCGTTTTTGTGGCTGACACTGGACGTTCTGTCTCGCGTTGGCTTCACATGAATCCCACCTCCCCATCAACTCTTGCACCTAGAAACGTAAACCTGCCTGGTAAGGTCCGAGCAGGGCATGCCCCCAAGCTCTAAACCTGTATGTTGGCTCACAATCAATGCACCTTGTCAAGGAACCCCGAAAAGTTGTCCTCTTAGCCTTGCCATGTAAATGAGGTTCATGGGATTGGGAACTCATCGTGAAATCACATGCATATACACGTGCTTATCTCTATCTGTATTCATGTGTGTGTATATATATATGGGCATATATGTATGATATGTAACTATTTAACTTGGCACTTTGCTCTTTTCGTTTCATGAGTTTATGCATTGATTAGCCTGTTCAATCTGAGTAGGGGGGCTGTCGCCCAAAAGCTGCTACATGGGCGAGCGAGTCTCCCAAGGTCGAAGCTGAACGGGAAGTCACGCATCGGCATCACCACGCGCTGCGGCAGCACCATCCATGGTCCGAAGGTGCCTGTCGAGGGTTTCAGGTGTAGGGCTTAAGTTTTAGGCCCTAGTGTCTCCGATTGGGCTACGGGCACACCCTAGCCGCAGACTCATAGCTGGGAAGTCTGCGCGAAATCTAGCTTTGGCTGACATGTCCCCGGTATACGAATCTTGTACAAGGAATGTTGATTTGCGGCATCTGTCCGGGATTTATGCTCCGGCTTGTCGGTCAGGAACCCGAGGCAGAATGAATTGGCCCGAGCAGACTCTGTTGACCTACTCGACTGTCCCAAGCGGCCGTTGACAGCACCAACGATGGCATCCTCTACCTTTTCAGAGATTGCTTCAGGGGCTTCAGGTGGTGCATGTCCCCATGAAGCCTGGGCTTCTGCTAAGGTCAAACGCCAACAGCAGGCTCATGGAGATATGTACCATGTGCGGTACTGCGGCAACTTCCTTAGCTTACTACTACTACTACTACTACTACTACTACTCCTACTACTCCTACTCCTACTTCTACTTCTTCTTCTTCTTCACATCAGTTCCTTCACGGCCTTCTGCATCATCGCGGCGGTCAGCACTTTCTACCATCATCAACAGCAACAGCATCACCATCGTCATGATCGTTCTGTCTACTCTTGCCTTCATCATGTTCGAGAACATGACCGCCATCGCGGCTGTTACTATCTTTATGAATGTCTTCTGTGTTTCTGAGGGCACCGGTCACGATTTCGAAGTCCTTCTGGACTTCAGGACTCTTTTCTTGCTGTGACCCTTGCGTAGCTTGATGCGAGCTGTGCTTCAATCTTTGTTTCTTTTACAACAACCCTCCAACTCCAAACCCTTCCAACTCAAGCCAACCCAACCCAAACCTGAAAACCCTTCTCTGCAAGCTGCGCTCCCTTCATAACCCGCTAACAAGACCTTAACCTTCCTGCAAGCCGGCGTCAAATCTGGAATCGAGGCCAGTCCTGGATTTCGGGTTCCGTCTCTGCAAGTCCGCAACCGAATTCATACACATCTCCCAGTCTGTCAAGGGATACCCAGGGGGCCTTAGCCCAAGTTCAATGAAAGGGTGGTGCACGATGAGCCTCCACAAACAGGACCCCCCCACTCCACTTGCATGAGTCTGAATCTGAAGCCATGGAGCCATCCATGGGTGAAGTCCATGCCAAGGTAGGGATCGTCCATGGCCTCTCGACGGCGTCGTCGCTTGTACGTCTTCCATCCACACATGGGCAATGTGGCAGCACCCTCAAGAATCCTTTCAGAACGAGCGTCTAGATCTGTGCCGAGGACGTCTCGAGCATGCATAAAGGCCTGGGAGCTGGCACTTCACATCTGGCAATTCTGATGAACATCTGATGGACAGCTGTGTAAGCGGACGGGTGCCTTGGGCAGCGAGTTGGAAGCCCTGAGCCCTCGACAATACACATGACAGCCTGAGCCAACTGCTAGCTTCTTGAGAGCGGTCAATTTCGCCTTGCTTGCATCCTGCCATCAACAAGCCCAAGAAGAGAAAAACACCCCCAAACCCCAAAAAGAATCCCCGGTTCCAAGAAAGAACAGCGGCATTGCCCATGTACATGCAGACCGCATCGAAGAACGGCGGCTCTGGGACCTGTCTCAAGTTCCAGCACAATGTTATATTATATTATATTATATTATATTATATTATATTATGTTATATTATGTTATATTATATTGTAT